AAAAAAAAAAAAAAAAAAAGAAGAAGGGTTGGATGGATGGCTTTAATTATAAAGTGCTGCCGTTGCTGTGGGTTTTCTTGATACCTGATACTCTGTGGTCAGTGATAGCATCTGGAGACACTGAAGTTGCTTGTCTTTTTTTTTTCCCCCATCTTGATACTTTGCATACCATTTTGTGAAGCTTTTCTTTCCTAACTGTATTGCTAGGTGCCATTTCTGTTTCTGAGAGGCTTCCTGGTATTCTCCCAGGAAAAGCAAACTTAGAATGAGGGAAGACCTGTGACATTTTGGGCAGCTAATCTAATGAAGGATCAGGTGCTAAGGGATATTTCTCTAGTGAGCAGCAGTGGGAGGTATTCAGTTATTAACAAGTTTACAGATGCTGAGAGCTAAAGGCTTCCTATCAAGTTTTTTTCCCTCCAAGTAAAAGACTGGAATTTTGAGGGTAGTTTGGGATTTCCTGCTATTCTTTTTGATTTGTCTTCATACTTTGTCTTCTTTCCTGCAGTTTTTTAGTTTCTAATCTTTGTAATTTCTAGAAGAGTGTTCTAGCAGAGTTTTGGATCTGATATCCATCACTGTATAAAATACCGTGAACGTTATTTTGGGTTATCTTTGATGTAGTTATGTTTGTTATCTATGATTTATCATCATGATGTAGTTATTAGTTATGAATTTTCAACTCTTGTAAACCACTATTCTAGRTACTTTAAACTCATTCTTCCTGTTTATGTTTTACAGGCAGGATGAAAGACCGTCTAAGTGAGCTGCGTGAATTTGCCAGGTTACACAACCAGCAGTTTTCTGATAGTGATGATGATGAAAATTCACCCCAGGATATTCTCCATTATGAGACGGACTATGCCTTGGAAATTCTTCATAAGGACATACAGAACATCCGGACAGAAAATGACCACCTAAAAGCGGATGTCAACCGTCTCAGAAAGCAAAACACCCGCTTCCTTACTTCCATGCGCCGCCTTAGTAGCATCAAACGAGATACTAATTGTATTGCCAAAGACATTAAGGCCCGTGGAGAAATCATCCACAGAAAACTGCAGGTAATGAGAGATTTCTGTGAAGATGCAATAACAAGATATGGAGCTATGTCTGTCATTGCCAGGGTGGCRAAGAACCACTACGTTGACCTCATGCACACATTTCAGAACGCTATGTTTGATTACAATGCAACAGAGATGAACCAGCGGGAGAACTGCAAGATTCGAATTCAGCGGCAGCTGGAGATCATGGGCAAAGATGTTTCTGGCAACCAGATTGAGGAGATGATTGAGCAAGGCAAATGGGATGTCTTCTCTGAGAATCTCTTGTCAGATGTTAAGGGGGCTCGCTCAGCCTTGAATGAGATAGAGACACGACACAARGAACTGGTGAAATTAGAAGGTCGCATTAAGGAAGTTCATGAGCTCTTTCTGCAGGTGGGCCTGCTGGTGGAGGAACAGGCAGACACCTTTGATGTTATTGAGATAAATATGCAAAATGTTGAGGACTATGTAGGAGATGCTAAAGACCAAGTGAAAAAAGCTTTGGAATACAGGAGAAAACATCCCCTCAGAACAATCCTGTGCTGCTGCTTATCGTGTTGCAGAAGGTGACAGCCCCCCTGGAGCTATCACAGACTGAAATGCATGAATTCAAAATCAGGTGTTCTTTCCAGAGACTYTTCTGTAATGACAAGCCCTAGAAATAGAAGGGATATTTTGCAGTTGGTTTTCTTCATTGTCTTTTTACTGAATGTGCTAAAAGCTGTTTCTATTTGTGAACTCTTAGAAATGTTGATAAAACTATTTTTAATCTAATTTTTATTGGAAGGTTCTGTTACTATATCTAGAGGTACAAGATCTTGTTTCAGATAGGCAAAAAAGAGGAATGAATAACCTGGCCTAGGGAAGATGAATACTTCCAAAAAGTAATTTTATTCTTATTTGTCCAAGTGAGGCTGCAGGGGGTGAAGTCTTATTGCCTGGGGTGACACATTACAACACAATCAGGAGGTTTCAGTTTTAATAACTTGATGCAAATTTGACAAGATCTGTCTGCTAACAGGAGCAGGACACAGAACTGGTTTCTCTTTCAACTTGATTTCCAGCTGTCTTGAATCTTAACAGAAGTGGCTGTGCCTTCTAAGATAATATGCACATTTTGCTCTATTTGTGTGCAAGTGACTACTTTTTTCCATTTTGAGTACCCAACTCTCTCAAGGTGGCTAAAAGCACTGCAACACTGAGGCATCTCACTCACTCTTAATTGAGCCACTCTCTGGACTCTCAATTTCAAACCTGTCATGCTTTCATGTTCTGATACATTTTTCTGCCAATTAGCACTTCAGCCAGAAGAGAAATATGCCATGGCCTTCTGCAGAAACATTCATAAGAAGACAACAGTTGTGGGGTTGAGAAAGCATTTTAGGATTTCCTGTACTGGCAYGTACATACAAGCAGTTTTAGTGAAATGATTGGCCTGTCAGGACACTTTTATTTTTTTATAAGCCTTGACCAAATATAGATTTTTTAAATATCTATTTTAAATAAGATGAAGGATTAATTTTTTTATGTGCAATTTTACTGGTGTACAAAAATTTTGACTTTTTTCCAATTGTTGGGAAATCTCCACCTGGGAAAGCAAATAGAACTATTCCTTCAGTATATCTGAAGAAGAAAGAAAACAGTTTCATGTCATTTCAGTGCTCTCTTCAAACTTAAAAGTAAACTCTCCTTTTGTGTATTGGGAGTCTGTCCTTAAACAAGGGCAAAACAGTAAGTTTGGAGCATGGCAAGGAAGAAAAAATGTGCAACCCTGGTAAGCACTGAGCATTGTCAGTAAAATGTATTCATAAGGTCTGGTGAGTGATCACAGCTTCTGCTTCTGGAGGTTGTCCAATCTTATTTCTAGATGACTTCCTGATACTTTGTGATCTATTGCCATCCTTTGAGATAATGCAGGGCATTGTTTCAGAAGTTAATTTTTTTTAACCAAGAATCCTATTTGTACATATTTTAATAAATTTATTTCAACATTTCAGATATTTTGTATTTGAGAGTTTTCCTCAGATATGCATAGACGTGCATCTTCCTGCACCAGTCRCAGTGGAACTTCTCCCTTCTGACCTTTTTAATCCTAATTTTATATGTGAAAAAAAACCCCAAACATTTCTTGCTATTTATATTAATGTAACAAAACAGCAAAATAAATCCAGCTTCCAAGCTTTCATATCTTACTGGGAAACACTTTTTAGCCAGCCAGGCTTTTTCACAGAAACAGAAATTAAATGGAAAACTCTTCTCAGAAACTGAATGTCTCTTTTGCTGTAGCATTTCTCTGTGATAACATGGAAGAGTGAGGAACACTGATCTTTTAAACTGTRAGATATTTTGATATTCAGTGGTGTACTGGTGATATCAGTGCTATACTTGTCTGAGGACCTCTCCAACAACAGTGTTCAAACTTTCTCCCACTTCTGGAAAGGAGGGCGATGAGTAAGTGGAACTGTGCATTTGTAGAGAAATACCCTAAACCTCTGAGAGTCAGCATGTGGGGATAAATCAGTGAAGAATGAAAGAATGTATTTCCTTTCATATGCACACTCCTAGCACTTGCCAATATCTTTGATATACACGTCTTTTTGTGTTGTTTCCTTTTTTGCATCTACAAATGGAATAAAAGATTTTATAAGAAAAACAGTGCACTGTCGTACATTGAATCAGCAGCTCTAAAGTCTCTTGCATTATCAAAGCTTAGTTTAAACATTTTTGGAGCAAATTCTGAGTTGGTAAAAAGAGATGAAACAATGCCTAGAAAAAAAAATCCTCCTAATATTTGATGGCACAGTAAATTAAATGTCTTGCATACGGAGATACTTACCAATTTTTTTTCCTAAAAAAAACCAAGAAAAATTAGTTTTATGCATTCTAAGATGATTCTCTAGTGCAAGAAAAAAAAATCAAATTTATTCTGGCAGTTCTGAGAGATCTTGATGATTTCACTAGTCAATATGCAAAACTAGTATTCAAATCTTTAGTTTGATTTCAGGCATGGGGAAAAGAGACTGGAAAGAAAAGGTAATTGTAGATCTTCTCTCCTGACTTTGGGCTGTTGCTGCAAGGAAGAAAAAAGAGAAGTATTSAAAAACCAGCCTGAGAGCCTTTAAAACTATTTTTAAGATGCATCATGAGTTAAGAGACATTTAAAAATGACTTCCAGTAACTGAAGCAATCATTCTATCATTCTCTTCCTTGCAAACAGGCCCATTGCTTAATACTATGGGGGTTTTCTATCCTTCGGTTGTGTAAGAACTCAAATTTAGCCAGCCCATGAACTTGCCTAATCACAGTTAAACAGACTTTTGAAAAAAAATGATCACACTGTAGCTGCAAGGACTCATGCCACACAGGATGMGTGGAAGAAGATGATAAAAGTTGCTTGATAATATGTTAGCATATAACAGAAGCTGCAGAATGGACATCTGAGGAAAGCTGCCTTTTCCTTCTGAAAGTCAGCACAACTCCTGTGGAGATGTGTAGCACATTCTATGGGTTGGTGGGGCTTTTTTTGCCCTTTTTCCTCATGTGGCAAACAGTTGAACTGGGTTTGAGGGGTGAAKAAGTCAAAAACTGACAGGATGGTTTACCTTTTAGGATTGCTGTTTGGTTTTGTTTCYTACTGAACGTGAAGCTTCACAACCCACACAACCACCCACCCGTGAATCTCAGCCCTTTCTGAGGAGGACAAAGGAGGACTGGCAACCAGGCACATTTTGCTCCTTCTAAAAAATGTAAGACAGCACTGTATAAATATAAAAAAAATCCCCTATTACAAAATACAGTGTTTAGTATGTAAAGGATACGTGTATGAGTCTCCATTTCAGCTTGAGGGACTTCTTTTTTTTTTTTTTAATAATGGGTTTCATTTTAGAAAAATGGCAGCAGGACAATTGCTTCCTCAAAATGAAGGACCAGACTGTGGACACACTGGTACAGATRGGCAAGTATCTCTGGCATATTTCTGGAGAGAAACTTCTCGAAGTAAAGCTATAGTTCTTGAGATGCAGATCCCCTTTTTTTCCCCTTTTTCTGAAGGCTGAACAGAGTGGCTGTGCTAAACTGCTTTTCTAATCTAACATGTATTAAGGATGTTTTGAGCACACAGCCCAAGTTGCATTTTATTATTTCTTGAAAAAAAATTGAAAAAAAAAAAAAAAAAAAGTCTAGATTTTTGAACCATGGTAGCCATTTGAAATTTATTTGAAAAAAGAAAGAGCTACATGGGGTTATGCTTCTGTCTCTAGGAAAGTATCACAGATATAATGAAGGCAGAAAACAGTATAATTTAACAGATACTTCCATGGTGATTCTCATACAGATACTGTAATGTGGAAATTAATAAATTTCCAATGCAATGGGATCTTCACATGGAGCCATGCTGTTTGTTTCTCTAACATGTAAGAAGGCAACATCAGATCTTCTTCCAAGTTTTTAGCATATTCTATAATGTCTTCATAATGGCTGAGCCAAAGCAAGTRTGAGCCAGCAGAAGACACCTTCACTGTCAAGCCTTAAGCGCATACATTGTTAGGGCACCAAATAGGAACAGGAAAATAATTTTTTACTGTGTTTCTTAGAAATAGCGTAAGATGTGAACAGAAGAGGAGAAAGTCTAATGGAATGGAGAAATATGGCATGCCACCCATTTCAAGCCAATGAGACAGCACGGCAAATTCCATTAGAAGAGCTTTCCTTTCATTCATGAGCCTCAGCGTGTGAAAACCATGAAGGAAAAAGGTGTGAGTTTCACGTCTGTTCTTCGTGTATGTTAACATTAAAATGTTAACAACTCAATAGCACGGAATGAGAGAAGTATTGTCCCTCACAAGCGTGCCCCGTGTTCCGGGAGTCCCCTAAGAGCCCAGGAGGTCAAGCATCACCTGCACGCGCAAAATCGAGGCCCGGCCCCCTTTCAGAGGGGCAGGGCCAGCCAAGGTGTCTGCTCCTGCTCCTGCTCCTGTTCGTGTTCCTGTTCGTGTTCCTGCTCCTGCTCCTGCTCCTGTTCCTCATCCTGATCCTGCTCCGCCTGCTTCCCCGTGCGCTGCAGGTTGGCACAGGTCCTTGTCCTCAGCCTCTGCTGTGTGGAACATGCTTCTCGCACCTCAAAGGTGCCAAAGTTTGGTGGCATGCAGGATGTCCATTTTCTCCGCTGGAAAATAGCATCGAGAGAGGGAGCCAGTGCCAAGGGGTAAAGCCAGCGAAGGGACACTTTCCCAATGCGCCTCCGATGCAGSGAAGGGGCAGATTCCAGGGCAGTGGTAGGTGTTTCAGTAGACATTCAGGTATTCAGTGGCATTCCCCCCTGCAATATTTTTCTCGTAATTAGGCATAATTAATAGCTTTTGACTTTGTGGGTTTTGGTTCTTTCTACGAGCGACGGAAGATACATTCCAGGAAACACTTGGACGGAAATAATGAAGTGTCGGCGCCTTATCGGCACWACCTCTCCGCTGCCCTCTCACGACCCGACGAGCCCCGCCGGCACCTCGGSCCTGCCCGCCCTGAGGGGAGGATGAGCCCGCACCGCCCGTAGCCCTCGCACCCCGACGCCCCGGCCCAGCGCCGCCCGCCCCGCTCTCCCTCAGGGGCGGGCCCGTGCCAGCGCCGCGCACCTCCCCCGCCTCCCCCT